TTGTTCGCTGCGGACGATGGGCGTGCCAAGGCGGATGAGTTTGGCGCGGCGCCAGCCCGTTCTTCACCAACTGTTGTCGCTTGCCCGCTTCATCAACTGGTGAACGACGGGCTGGCGCCGCGCCAAACCAGGCCTCGCTGACATGCCCCAGCCTCTGCAGTGAACAAGACTGTATCTCAGTATTGTGCTCCGCCGCCTCATTGGGACCAATGTTTTAAAACATGGAGGGGCACTGGAATTCATCAACGCAGCTACAAAGACTCCGAAAATTCAGACGTCCGTGAGACTTACTCTCCAATAGCTCTTAGCCTCTAGCCCCCTAGCCTCATAGGTCCGCCTCAGTGGCTAGGAGCTTCCCTTTTCCCCACCTTAATGGGTCCATACTCTGGAACGCATTGTAAAGGAGAAAACCGGAGAACAGCTCACCTCAAGGTGATCCATGATATGCCCGACACTCTTAATACGCTGTTCGGGTGGATCATCTCGGATTGACATGAACGACACCGGTGACGTCTCGGTCGTACCATAGCACACCTAAAATTGTAACTTGTAGACAAACAAGTTTGACTGACATATAACGCCACGCTCGTCACATGGTTTCTGAAGAACAGTCCCATGAACATTATTTTCCGAATCAATCAGCCACACGGTCCCTCTTTTTGACCTTTTCTCAGAAACCGATTATGCGGCTCTGATTACTGCCATATTTAGTGATTTGACCCAACACTCGTTGCCTTCTCACTTAAGATACAAAAAATCACTGAGGCGCCGCTTGTGCGACATCCAACTAAATAAGAACCAATCCATACTCTGGAGTTGTGGGAGTGAGGGGCGGACCATGAACGCTCAGTTCTCTGATATAAGACACTCATTAAATGATAAAAGGTCCAATTAGGTAGGTGACCGAATCATATTCCAAGCATGCCAATAAAATAAGCAGTCCAAGCACGGCGCCATTGGTCCCTGATGCTAGGCCTGGTCTCCTTTTTGAGCTTCTCCTCTATCATCGTCGCTGAGCTATACGCAACAAGTCGAATAGATATTCACGTTGTGTCGGCGAATCTTGTGAACGAGATGCACATGCGGGACATGCAGGTTAGTGATTCTCCGGAATTTTTTTCGCAGCCCCGCCTATGTTAGACTCCTTGGTTTCCTGTTTGTTTATAATGAGATGTATCGGGAAAATCTCACAATAGACAATCTGTTGAAGCTTCACTGGTTTTCATGAACTTTTGTTGTTGGTGAATA